GGCTCAAGCAGTGGCACAAAGGGCTCCTGGTACTTTGCCCGGTCAGACCATCCCTCACCCTCAGAACCCGAATGAGCACTGCAATGCCATCATAACCAAGAGTGGCAAGATGACTGTTGATCCACCTGTTCGGGCTCAAGAGAGAGAGGCCCCTGCCTCGGCACCTCCAGTGACTGAAGAAGAAGCAGAGAAGGAGGTTGAGGTGCCTGCACCTAAACCGCAACCAGTAGTGAAGGAGTATATCCCTCCACTCCCCTTCCCTACTCGGTTGCACAAAGACAGGCTGGAGCAGAGTTCGAGAACTTCATGGCCATGCTTAGGAAGCTGAATGTCCAAGTACCTTTCCTGGAGGCACTATCTCAAATGCCTAAGTATGCGAAGTTCCTGAAGGATCTTCTCTCAAAGAAGCAGAAGCTGAGCGAGCTGGCCACAATCGAGCTTAACGAGGAGTGCTCGGCCATTCTGCAGAACAAGCTTCCGCAGAAGCAGAAGGACCCAGGTAGTTTTACTATCCCGTGCTCTATAGATAAATTGCATGTAGAGAGGTCCTTGGCGGATTTAGGTGCTAGTATCAATGTTATGCCATATAAATTATTCAAGAAACTAGGCCTAGGTGAACCCCGTGCTACTAGGATGAGCCTTCAATTAGCTGATCGATCTGTCGTGCATCCGAGGGGCATAGTGGAAGACCTTCTGGTTAAGGTTGGCAAATTCAATTATCCTGTTGATTTTGTGATTTTGGACATAAATGAGGATGTGGATGTGCCATTGATACTGGGAAGGCCTTTCCTGGCCACTGCCAAGGCCCTCATAGATGTGCATGATGGGACCTTAGTTTTGACGGATGGTGAGGAGCGAATAACGTTTTCAATTTCTAATACTCTTCCTGCTTCTTCGCCTCTGCATGCTGTATCTCACCAGGAGCACGAGTCTGTCGTGTATCCTTCTGTGTTTCCTATTTTGTAGGATCCGCCTCCCATACCTTCGCCGCCACTCCCGTCCACTCCGTCACCGAAAGAACAGATAAAGGAGGAGTGGCGGCCGAAACTGCAGGCAGCTAAGCCTGCTCGAAAGAAAACCGGAGACCACTACGAGCTGGTCGCGCCCCCTCCTTGGCCATCCGAGTATTCAGTCGCTTGCATCCTTCCGGATGGCCAGGTTGAGTTGGCAAATGCTGGTGGCCACATTCGGCGTGTGCATGGCCATCATTTGAAGCTGTACCTCAAGAGCGAGGTGGATCCGCTCTTGAAGGCACCTGCTCCTTCACCTCATTGAGCATCCACCTACTGGCGTCCAGCTAAAAGACGGTAAAGAAGCGCTTGTGGGGAGGCAACCCCACCTAGGTTTGCATTTTCTTACCTTTTTCCTTTTGATTTTTTGTGTTTTTTGAGTCTTGAGGGGTTGTTCACGAGTTGTATGTCGTTCTGGAGTGAAAACAGGTCAATTTCGAAGTTCTGGCAGCTCACACGGCCAGCCCTGAATGTCACACGGCCGTGTGGAAAATGGATTTGGCCGTGTGAGCTCTCACAGAATTCCACACGACCAGCTGTGAATGTCACACGGCCGTGTGGAAATTCGCCCAGGCCGTGTTTGCTCTCGCATAATATGGCACGACCAAATGTGCACTCGGCACGGCCGAGTGAAAAATCCTCGGCCAGCCCGTGTCGGTCGACACGGGCAAAAGCGCATCTCACACGGCCGTGTGATCCAGGCCGTGTGGCCGAGCCACGGCCTATAAATTCGGCCGATACGGCCGAGTGGTCAGAAAACCCAAATTCACTCGCCGGAAACCTCTCCCCCTCGCCGGAAAACTGCGCCTTTTCACCCTCCTTGTCGATTTTCGGCCATTTTTGGTCGGTTTTTCACAAATCTAACACCGCACCCCTCCTTTCCTCTGCATTATCGGCCTATCCCTCGATTTTGAGGTGATTTGGCTTAATTTTGAGTCGCCGGAGGCGATTTCCGGCGAGGTTCCGACGAGCACTTCCGAGCAGTTTTTCGGCCTTTCGTCGCTTCCATTGCATTCCTCTCATCATCCCCTACACCTCTACTTGAGTCTCCAGGTTTGATTTTGACCTTAACTATGTTTTTCATGGAGAATTGGGTGCTAGGGTGCATGTTTAGAGAACCCCTTTGAATCGTGATAATTTTGTGCAATTGATTGAGGGGAATGCTTGGATTATGTATGAATTGTGTTGGGCATTGTCCCCCTTGCTTGTTTGAGCCCTTGTGTGCATGAATTTTGTCAATTCCTTGTTTACCTTAATAGTGCACACAAGGTGTTCGATGAAATGCCTGTTTTCGTACCATTTTGTGGGAGTCGGTTGGGGCCCTTAATGATGTGCTTTGAGGGTGTGTTTAATATGGACGTGAACCTTGAGTTGCCTACTTGTTCATGGATGTGCACCCCCACTCAGATTATGCTTGATTTATCGAGTTTTGACCCTCGAACTATGGATGAAACCATGGTTAGGCTGTTTTCTGTTCTTAAGTGTGGGGGTGTGATTAACATTTTCCTTGGCTCTTTTGGTTCCACTTTGGGCTGTTCTTTTGCAGGACCATGTCGAAGCCCAACCTCCGGCATCAGTTTGTTCAAGATTTGAGAAGGGGACCCCACCAGGATCGTTTTAAGAATGTCCTGGCCTGCAAGTTTGGGCAACATCATTACTGGTCCAAGCGAGAGTTGGAGAAGCTGAACTGCTACGAGCACCTCTCCCCCGTTGTCACCAACCGCTACTGGCGCCGCCTACTCAGCATTCGCGAGAAGGTTTACCACGAGCTCGTGCTTGAGTTCTACCCTACCTTCAAGCACGCAACCACGGAGGATTTGGAGGACGAAGCTGCCGTCCAGTTCCGACTCGGCGGTGAACCACGATCCATGAGCTACGATGAGCTGGCGAACGCCCTCGGCTTCAACCTGGTCAATGACAGAGACTACATCACCGAGAGCGCCGATCCAGCGGGGGTGGACTTCGGGAGGTTGTACTTCAGCCTCGCTCGGCTTGGTCAGCTTCCCTTCAAGGCGGGGAAGACGAAGGCCAGCACATTGCAGCTCGACAACCGCATCCTCCATCATATGCTGGTCAAGTCTTACACTCCAGCCTCGCACAGTGCCAGCGCCATCACCAAGAGAGCCATGTACCTTATCCAGTAGATGCGCAGGAGGGATCATCCCCTCCACTTGGGCTCAGTGGTGGCGAGGACCTTCGAGAAGAGTGCTTCTGAGCTGAAGAAACTCCACTGCACTCCCCTCATCACCCGCCTGGCAGACTACTTCCAGATATCCCTGCAAGGGTGCACAGAGCAGGGAGAAACCACTGCCTTTGGCCGGTTTACGATCAGTAAGATGCACCTGCTTCGAGAGCAGCGTGGTGTTATGTTGATCGAGGGGTTTCCTCAACCTCAGATCCCAGAGGAGGCCCAGCCGGAGGCTCCCGAGGGTGCGGCTGATGAGGAGGTCCAGCCCGAGGACGTGGATGATACTGCTGCCGCCCACCCCACCACCTTCGAGTACGGGAGTGGCAGTTCCAGCTTCCCCGGCCAAGACTACTTCTCTCAGCAGTTCGAGCAGCTGCATCTCCTGAATCAGCAGCTCTACGACTGTCAGATGCGGTTTCAGCAGCAGTATTCGGCTCAACATGCCGAGTACCAGACCAGGATGGCAGCGTATGATGAGCGCCTCGATAGGATGAAGACCCAGCAGGGGGTCACCCTGGCGCGGATCGAGAGGGAGCAGGCCCGAGCTCGCCGCATACAGGAGGTACAGGGGCATCTGCTCCAGCTGCTACCGGGCGAGCAGCCAGTCTGGAGGACTCCATGGGAGGACTCTCCACTACCACCTCGACCAGCTGATGACGATGATGCATTCATGAATGACATCGATCTGGACAACCTTGGCGACGAGTAGGCTGTACTTGTCGCCCCTCAGTGTGTGTGTTTTTTTATTTTAGACTTTTCTGGTTGCTCCATGTGTTTGAGGAGCTTGAACTGAGTTTGTCGTGTGTTTTGTTTCTTTTCTTTTGTGGATTGTTTCTTTTGTGGCCATCTAGGCCAACTCTCATCCCTAACGAACATTTGCTAGTGTGTTCTTGATGTTCCCTTATTGCAGAACTGTCCGTTCGTTCCATTTGTCCCACGCTGACTGGTTCACTTCCAGTCTCCCGCAACATTTCAATCCGGTAACATCGTTCCTCTTCTCTATCCCTCTGCTCCATTGAGGGCAATGTCGTGCTTAAGTGTGGGGGGTGCTTTGTATCAGTTGGAATGTATATACGTTTGCTTGGAGCCTAGTCCACTGTCCAATTCTCGAGATTTGAGGGCTCCAAGTATGGCTGTTTGATCATATTGGCACTGTGTTTGATTGGTGAATTGAATGGTTTTTGGATTAATGCATGACAACTAGATGGTGATTAGGACAACCTATAATGATGACTAAGACGTGCAGTAGAGTTGTGTAGGGGTTCAGAGTTTCAACTGTTTGCTTACCAACTGTGACTTGGATTGACTACTTGTTTTTGACAGTCTCTTATGCATCTAGTTCAGGGAATCAGAATGAGAGATAGAGCATATAGGTAGCCGTGTGAGATTTGAGCCTGCTCGTTTCTTTCTTGTGCGATAGTTCCCTCTTCCATGATGTGTAGCATTCACGTTGTCATTAGCTGAGATGATGGAGGCATAGGATTAGCCCACGACCAAATTGACTGTCCTGGTGTGTCATACCCCCTAGTCAGCCCCTTTTGAGCCGTTTGTTATCCTTTCTTTCGGTCTTCACTGAAAAGTCACCCTTTTGCATCTTTTAGAAGGTTCCACAGAGTGATTTTTACATGTTCTCTGCTGTTCTGCTAAATATAATGTGAGAGTTGGAGGTAGTTCTTAAAAAGTTGGGCAGGTGTTCGAAAATGTGCAGAGGTGGTGGTTCTCTTAAGAAATGGAAAAAAATGAAAGAAAAACAAAGAAAAAATGAAAGCAAAAGTGAGCCACCACCAAAAATCTGAATAGTGCCCATTAAGTAGTGTTTCTTAGCAGTCTGGCTTAGAAATACTGGTATTTTTGTGACCTCCTTCGCTCTTGTGCTCTGAATTTGAGTAATGCAGAATAGCAGAAAGAAATTAGTGGTTTGATTGACTGTGAGTTTGTTGGGTTTGGAATTGTGGAACCTTGTGCTTTGAATACTTCCACCACCTAAAAGGCCTTTTCCCCATGTCCAAGACCCTAGCCAGTCATTTGAACCTGTGTCTAAGACCTCCTGATTAGTTAGTGATGACAACCATTTATGTGAACTCTAACATTTAGAGGCTGCCGTCATGGTGAAGAGATGTTAGGAATTGAGAGAATAAGTATGCGCATTTTTCGCATCAAATTGTCCTGACCCCACTGGTCGAGAGTGAGCGATTCATTTCATTGTTCTTTACACTCTTTACCCGGTGAGGACCTAGATGGCTCGGTCTTGATTCTGATATCTTGAGTTTTGTGCATGAGTTGACTATCTTGAGTAAGTGGTTGAGTCAAGTCTAGGTTGGTTGATGAACAGAAGGGAGACTCCTCCTTTACTCGATTTTGCTGCACTCGAATGTCTTCTGTGGTGGTTGTCCAGGTTGCTATTAAGGTTGTTCATGTGTTGATGTTTGAAAACCAGTATGATTCACGTGTTCTGTGCCTATATGATTTGTCCCCAATGTTGGTATGATTGAAATATGTGAGCTTACCTTGTGTCTGACTTGGTTTGCTTGGGGACAAGCAAACGGTTAAGTGTGGGGGAGTTTGATAAGCCGTTAATTGCACATGTTTTTACCCCTATTCTGGAGCCGTTTGAGGTGTTGATTCTCGTGTTTTAGGCCGATTTCACGCTAGGTTGTGTTTGTTTGTGATATTTCAGGTCCTAGCAAGTGAATGAAGGTTTAGGAGCGAGTTCGGGGTCGATTGGACGAAGATCGGGCGCGAGGCAAGTCACAAATGAAGCCACACGGGCAGGCACAAGAACCACACGGCCGTGCCAGTGACCAATTTGGCCGTGTGGGATTGTGCGAGCACTAACACGGGCACAAGAAGAATCCACACGGCCGTGCCAAAGACCACTTTGGCCGTGTTGAATTCTGCGAGGCTTCACACGGCCAGGCATCTTCGATGCCCCATGTAACACTCTTTATGACTAAAATCCAAACGTTCATAGCATGTCTCACTATTACATACAGGACAGGCTAATCTCCCCTTCGTACTCCAGCCCGATAGCATTCCATACGCGGGGAAATCGTTTATTGTCCATAACAACGCAGCATGTAAACGAAATGTTTCGTTTGAGTGTGCGTCATACGTACTGACCCCATCCTCCCATAACTCTCTCAAAATTTCTATTAGGGGCTCTAAGTACACATGTATGTTATTACCGGGCGATTTCTCTCCAAGTATAAGGACAGCAAGAATAAAATAAGGTTCTGTCATACATTTCCAAGGCGGGAGATTGTACGGTGTTAACACGACAGGCCACATGCTATAGCTATTGCTCATGTTCCCAAAAGGATTGAACCCATCACTTAGAAGAGCAAGGCGAACATTCCTAGGGTCTGCTGAAAACCAACTATGTTCCTCATCGAATCGTTTCCAAGTTTTTCCATCTGCCGGATGCCTTAACGTATCATCATCGACACGCAAGTCCTTGTGCCACCTCATGTCTTTAGCATCCTCCTTAGTCATGTACAATCTTTGCAGCCTATCTTTTAGTGGGAAATACCTAGCTTTCTTTTGGGCTACATTATTTTGTTTCCCAGGTATGTATCTAGACTCATTGCATTTGGGACATGACTTGGCAGATTCTAGAGGACCTCTATAGAGTACACAATGATATGGACATGCATCTATAGTGGTGTAACCAAACCCAAGATCTTCCATGTACCGCTTAACTTCATAGAAGGAAGAAGGAAGCGTCTCACCAACAGGTAAAGCTTTCTTGACTAGGTCCAGATTCATGTTGAAGGCTTTATCAGTACTGTTGGTTACCAGTTTATTGTTCAACAATTTCATAACAAATGATAATCTAGAAAAGTCTTTGCATCCCGGGTATAATGGCAAATTGGCATCACGGATTAGCCGAGCCAATTTATCATTGAGGTCTGTTAGATTAGAATAATTAGGTGTTGTTGACCCCTCAATGACAGGAGCATTTCCAGAAGAAGCACGCAACATATCCCCTAACATATCAGTCATGTCATCCTCTAAACCCTCAGTCTCAGGCGCAACTGTAGGTTGCCTAGGCTGATGTCTAGTACTCCCAATGTCAAACGACTCACCATGATGGATCCATGTAGTATATGTCTCCACCATGCCATTCCTGGTTATATCATCTGCGACAATCTCCAACTTCTTGAAGTTTCGATTATTGCACCTTTTACAAGGGCATCTAGTTCTACCTAGCGTATCAACATGTTTGCTGGCAGCCCCTATGAACTCAGAAACCCCCATTTGATATTCATCACAAAACCTATCCTTAAGCTTAATCCAATTTCTACTCATTCAATCTGTGCGTAAAGAAACTGACCTTCCCTTTATAGGCAGTTGGTCAAGATGGAAGCACAGCGTGAGATGAACTAGAAAAGGATCTGCAGAGGGTATATGACAAACCATTAGGAACCAGTTGACTTACACGATTTCTCTGAATGTCAAAAAATTTGAATACATTAATCGAATCTTACTTTTGCTTAGTGCTTGGGGCGCCTTCTCTCTATTCTAATTAGCACAACTGGATGGTTGAAGGATCGAAGATATAAGCAGCACCTGCCACCGAGTCAATGACAAGGAAACACAAGAGCTCATTCAGATAGATAAACCACCAGAATAGTCTTAAGCTAAATTAGCATTACACAGTAGCCACGGGAAGGAGGGATGACGCTTACCTATTTCTAAGACTAGCGAGTTTGCTATGGGAAACGAGGGAGGGAGAAAGACCAGCGAGTTTGCTCTCCAATCCGTAAAGAAATTTAGGTTTTAGAGATTGGGGATCTTTGAACTGCGGTGGTGACGGGGCGATTGGTGGAACAGCTACGACGACGGAAATCCCGCCGGAGAGTGGCCGGCCCGATTGGTGGAGGACGGGTAAAGGATCGAGGTCGTTGGAATATTGATGGTGGTCGGGTTCTTTGGATTTTGATGGACTGCGCAATTTGAAGAGACAAGGAAAAAGGAGTATAATTGTTCTCCCGATCGAGGAAAAGAGGTTGCAGCCTAAAAACACCAAGTATGACGAAATGCCACTGTCACATCTCGAGACCACTATATTATGACCAACATTAAATTTGGTCAGATCGGCGAGGGCTTATGGTGCTCTATTGTGACAAACCAATTTGTCGTTTAAACAATTCATCAAGACATAATATGACAAACGATACTTTGACGATGACATTTTGTCAATTTATGTCTCTTACAACCCGATGTGGGTTACCAATTTTGACGAACCATATAGTGACACACAAATTTGGTCACGTTATATACTTTAACTGACAAAGTATTCTGACAAAACGATATTTTGTCACATTAGGAGTACCAAATGTGACATTTATAATTTTTGTCATATTATAGGACCTATTATGACAAAAGGAAAATGACAAAAAAAAATTGTCCTAATAGGCCGAATTTGTTGTAGTGGCAGGGTGATCCACATGGCCGTGTGACCCTGGCCGTGTAGGTTGACTGAAGTCCAATTAACCGATACGCGGCGTTTTGGCCTCACACGGGCAACTGGGTATGCCACACGGCCGTGTGGCCCTGCCCGTGTGAGTCGGGAATTCCTGGTTTTAACCCAATTTCGGGCTGCAAGTGAGAGAATCGAGTTTTGAGAGCAAAAACAGAGCCATAGAGAGAGAAAGTACGAAGAACACATCCTAGAAGCTATCTTGGAGATGGGTTTCTTCAAATCAAGCTTGGAGATCGTCATAGGAGTGGAAATCATCATCCCAGAGCAGATTTTCCTCATCTTTATGAGTATGACTACTCTGTATTCTGTTTCCCTCTCTCTCTCTCTATGGACTAGAACCCTTCTCTCACTTGGGTATGAAGAACCCTAGTTCTATGTGTTAGGGATTTGATTGTAATGACTTGGGATGATATTACTGCTTGGTTTTAATCGAATGATGCATGTTTATTGAGTCAATTGAAGTCTGATCAACTTTTCCTGATTTCTGCTGTAACTTGAGATAGATAGAATCTGATTAGGTTGTTAGAGCCTCATCATTCGGTAGTAGGAGATTGGCTATACGAGAGTTAGCCAGTTTACTGCTTTGTACTGGAATTCAATTCCAGTAGTGGAGTTCTGTTCTTACTGCTTCAGCTTTCTATCCCGGTGAAGACTAGTCGTCTGCCGGGTAGTTAGTCTGAGAGGGCTTGGTCAGCTTAAGAGATTCCAAGCTACTGTCGGATCTTCCGCAGTCTAATCAACAGTAAATCAACCCAGGGAAATTACATTTGAAACCTAACTAAGGAGCTAGGGGGACTCATTCCCGAGTGACTCTTCTTTGCTTGATAAAACCGTACCAATTCCTGCTTTCTTTCTGCTTTTGCTTTAAACAACAAACACTTAACTTAGTTGGCTAGATAATAGATAATCAATGAGTAAGCAGTAGATCTAGACCCCGGGTTGATAATATAACTTGCCACTTTACTGCATTCCCGGTCTGCGATTACACTTGGTCGCAGATTGGTGTTGTGTTTTGGCGTGTCAGCTCCACATACTATGAGTGGTGGAAAACCCTCGAAGACTCAAAGCAATTCCTGGATCAACAGACGATAATATCCAGAAAATTACCAGAGCATTATTGGTCTCCCAGTCGGCCTTCTCCTTGTCATTAGCATCATCCGCCGGCCGCGACGAAGTCCCATCCAAAATACCCGTCATGCGGCGACCTTGAACAAATATTCTGAACTGGAACTCCCACAAGGGAAAGTTCCTTCCTGTCAGCCGCACAGACATACCCTCTATCATGGAATCCATAGCAGCACTTTACAGAAGCCAATCACCAACAAAAGACTACAAAGAGCCAAGAGGGAACACAAGACAACCAACAATACCCGAAACCAGCTCTAATCCTGAATAAACAATACCAACCGAAATTGAGCTGCAAGAATACCGGAAACCAGCTCCCACAAAAATCCCACGCTCTGAATTGCTGCAGCAAGGACCCAAAGAAGCAGCACACACGAGACTCCACAATTAAGCTAGGTAACCACGCACATGCTCTGATACCATGTCAAACTATATGAGAACTGAAAAGAAACTAGATCACACACACGATTTACGTGGTTTCCCCAGCAAGAATTGCTGAGACTAGTCCACGGAGAGTGAACCTCTCGAGTCAATATTATTAGGTTTTCAGCCACAAACGTCACCTACATACAACTCGGCCATCAACACTATATATACTTGGCCGAGATTAAGATCCTAAACCCAAGGACCAGATTAGTAATTAACCTTAATCAATGGTCAATTACTAATACATACATATTAACTTCAACACCCCACCACAGGTAATTGAAATTGACTCAAAACGGATCAATTCAAAATACCTCAGACAGATTGATCCATCCAAATTTTTTGCTGGCAAACAAGACAATTTGGTACAATTGTCTCAAAACGAGACAATTGTGTCAAATTGATCTGTTACGATTTCTCATCCAAACGACCCCTTAGTTTCCAGCTGGAGTTGGTTTCCAACAGAGACAGCACACTAACTCAATCAACTTAGGGCACAATGGGGATTTCATGTAGAATTGGATATCTGACACGCTTATGCAATTACATTGATCAACAAGACAATCTCATTGATGACATGGGAGATGGTGCGAACACTGTCTGCGAATTAACTTTGCCGAAAGAACGTGCTGGGATCTCGCTACCTCGTGCCATGTGATGGACACAATAATTTGGGTGAAGGAGGCCTCTGGGAAGTACATGGTGAAATTAGGGTACCGGATGGCAGATACGTTGGATCGTAAATTGACCAGATGGAGATATGAACCAAGTCTTGGTGATGCTAGACTTTAGAAGAAGGTTTCCGCTTTTCATGTGAAACCTAAATTGAGGTTTTTCATGTGGCAAATGTTAAATAGGATAGTTTCAATGATGGAGGCGCTTCGTCGACAGGACATACCTGTTTTAGCTCGCTGCCCCTGTCTCTTGGACGGATGAGGAAACTCTAGAGCACCTTTTCGTGGAATGCCCAATGGCTGCAGCTTTGTGGAGGGAAACGAGGGGCTTAAGATAGGGTGAGTAATCTTAGTGTGAGTAACAATGAGTAATCAAATCTGAATCATTCTTTTAAGTGGCGGCAGATCTAAGAGTGGAGAATTAAAGGAATTTATTTTCCCTATTTTTATTAATTGGATCATATCTTTTTCATTCTAACTCAGATTTCAATTTTTTTTGCATAGATGGAACGAGTTCGTTGTGCTCTACAAAATGATATCCATTTTCAATATTTTTTGAGAAATTTTTTTCATCCCTCTCGTTACCAACTCCATACCATATGGTATCTCCTTCTTTGTTTAGTCATTTTCGGAAATTTTTGCACAAAAGGAACGATTTAATCATGATCTATTGGATTTCAAAATTTTCTGGGGGAAAAAATTCCATACCTCTCGTTACCAACTCCATACCATACTATACCACCCTGGTATGAGGTTGTATTTTGCATAACATATGGTATGCTGCTATTTAATACCAGTCAATACCATATGGTATTGACTAGTAATAACTGGCAAAAAAATTTTGTTTCAAAAAATATCAAAGTGGAAATCATTTTAAATCGTTACCAACTCCATACCATACTATAGCACCCTGGTATGAGGTGGTATTTTTCATATGCTGTTATCTAATACCAGTCAATACCATATAGTATCGACTATACCTAGACCTGGCAAATTATAACCCGACCGATTGACCCGACCCAAAACCGCCCGAAAATAAGAAATTTTTGTAACCCGAAATCCGAATGACCCGAACCCGATAACCCGTGATTTTTTGGGTCGGGTTGGGTGGGTTAGCGGGTCGACCCGTTAGACCCGTTCCATTTTATATATCACTCCCAAAATATGATAAAATCACTCATAAATTTGTGAGATGTATTAAAAAAATCACAAGGATTTGAATGACATTTTTCGAGTTTAAAGATAATCAAATATCATTTGTTTCTTGTAGTAGTATTACTCTTGTGATTGTTTTTTGACGATTTGCGCAATTTATATTTCGTTTCATTAGGGTGGGAGGATTTGGGAATATGTTAATTGATATGTGTTAGGTAAACTATTGTCATGCATATGTGAAAATTTGTGTTCTTTAAGAAAATATGAAGCATGTTGATATTGTTTCTGAGAACGCTCATAACCCGAAATGACCTGTAACCCGACCCGAAACCGAATGGGTTGGGTCAATATTTGACCCGAAATCAGCCAACCAAACATGACCCGACCCGTAACCGAATTCCCCAACCCAAAATTACCCAACCCGACCCGATTGCCAGGTCTAACTATACCATTTGGTATTGACCGGTAATAACTGTCAAATTTTTTTTGTTCCAAAAAATATCAAAGTGGATATCATTTTGAAGAGAATAATTAATATGATCTAACTGTGCAAAAAAAAAATTAAATTCCGAGTTAAAACGAGTGAGAAATCGTCCGTTAAAGATTAAGGGAAAGAAAATTAATGATTTTTTCAGGAGAGAGAAGGAGGCGCTAATGTGGCAGATTCTTATTAGATTATGCATGGGTTATTCACCACAAGGTTATTCACCGGATCTGCTCCCGAAGCGAGGCTAGTTTAGGTGGTGGAGGATCTGGCAAGAGAGAAGTGTTATCATGCTACCTTAACTCCTGTTTCTTGTTTAATACAAACTAATGAACTATGGTTTTGTTAAAAAAAAATGCAATCTCATTTTTAAAAGGTTGCATGAAATACTCTTAAAGATGCAAAGCTAGCCACACCATCTATTTTTTTATTACATGGCGTAGGAAGTGTTATCATGCTGCCTACTTTTTAGGGCTGGTAACCGGTTCGGTAACGGTTAACCGGTTACCGACCGAACCGGTTACGGTATACCGACTGCGTTGAAACAACGGCCGAATACCGATACCGGTTTGTAACCGGTTAATCGGTTACTGAATAACCGATTAACGGTTACAAACAGGTATTACCAAAACACCGAGCCAAGGAAGCGAAACCACATTTTGGTTTGGTTAACCGGTAAGTAACCGTTAACCGATTGTGTGCAGAAGGGTGATGGGAGGCAGCAAGCTCTCGGCAATTTTCTTTAAAAATTCATTATTCTTTTATTTTATTTTATGTAAAGTCTTAACTCTTATTTACAATATTAAGAGTTATTATAATTTATAACATTACAATTGTCATTTGTCAAACCATAATTGGTTTATAAGTTATAACAAGTTCAAACTTCAAATTCTGAAATTCATTAAGTATCATCAAATATTGAAAGGGACGATAATCAACATAATTGTCAATCAACCAAAGCGCATAATGATTAATGACAATGTCCAAAATCTAAATTCACACAAGTTCAAACTTTATACTTAATAATAAAAATGGATCTTAAAAGTACCAAAATAACACAACATAAATAAACGCATAAACTACAAAAGTACAAAAAAATGGACACATAATCAACCAAACCAAACCATTTAAGAAATAAGTCAATAACTAAACAAGACTAACATTGCACAATTCAAGGCATACTAAACACAAATGGTAAGTTAACATATAATTCAATTCAAGTTCACAATTCAAGTTCACAATGCAAGTTCAATCAAAGGTTAAGTATCAAACACAACACTACTTAATACTGTCTAGTGTCTAATTCAAAGCTCCAAACATCATTGATTCATTCACAATTTCACATAACTAAACGAATTATCAACATAAAAATCAAATTTCTCATAGTCATACATTTGTAATTTTTTTCACTTTAGCTTCCAATTCAAATCTGCTGGTTGCTACTGTTCAGTTCTCGGTTCTCCTGCGTGCTGCTGCTGACTGGACGCTGGTCGAATTGGAGGAGCTCGACAGCTCTGCTCCTCTGCCTCTGCCCTTTGTGACTTTGTTGAAAAACGAAAAACGAAAAATCAAACTTGTCAAGGAGGGGCAGGGAAGAAGAAAGATGAAGGCAAGAGGAAGAGAAGGGAACTTACAGAGCGGCGGCCGGCGGCGACTGGGGAAGACGAAGCCAAGTTTCGTCGCCGGCGACTGGGGAAGAGGAAGTGTCGTCTGGTAAGGGTGGAAGGCAGAGTCGGAGAGGGAGGAGAACCGAAGAGGGAAGTGGGAGTGGGAAGGGTGGAAGGCGGGTCGCCGAAAAGTCACAAGGAGGTCGGAAAGGCGAGGCGGCGGATGGCGATGGGTGAAGGCATGAAGCGGCGGCTCTGCCCTCTCCAAGAATCTCGCTGTTGGCTGTCACTGAGATGAACGATGGAGCAGGCAGGAGGAGAAGAGAAGTGGCATGCACCAAGTGGACCTTAGGTTTAGCCGAACTCGCCCCCCTTTGCCCCTCAATCCGCAGCGTTTTGCCCCTCTCCCACACAGTATCCGGTTAACCGGAAAACCGGCGGTATACCGATGCTGCCAAAACACCATCCGACAACCGAGTTTTCCGGTTATCGGTATAACCGGTACCGGAAAACCGATTGTCACCCCTACTACTTTTAACCTTTTTCCTTTGCTAACATTTATATCCACTTTTTTTTCTAAATAAACGCAGTGCGTTCTAACCATCATTCGTAACCAAGATGGGTTCCGAAATCTTCTGAATGCATGCATAATCCAGTTACACAAAGTAGGATTGGAAATAGGAAAACATATAAACCAAGGGACATGAAATGTCTTCGGCTAGCAATGTAATTAGGACACTTGTTTTCCTTTCTGTAAATATGGGAAACGACCAATTGCCAGTCTTGGCTTAGGAGGGCCTGGAAATGACTGATCACTGCTAAGTGACGATGGACATCACCATCCTCTCGAAGAAGAAGGTGAACTGCACACTTGAGTTCATTTGGACCTGGAGACGACAGTACCCCAGGTCCCAAGCCAACTACAACCCCTCTAATGTGCCTCTCAACTCCGCTCGGCTAATGGAACACACATCAAGCGTTAGGACAAACTCTGATAAACAACGTCCTAAATGATGTCAAATCAAACCACCGGCTAAGACATGACCTGAAGAAGGATGTGTTGAGCCGTCAAAGTTGAGAGTGACCCACGAGATCAACGCCTTTGTTCTCATGGGCGAAGTCTACATGTGGACACGTCGATCCTTATCCAAGGCATTCCGCAAAATTTGAATCCATTCTGTGTGCACAGTAGAAAAACTTCACTTGAGATTATCTTGTTTGCAAAGATACAATCATTCCAATTCCTCCAAAGGGACCAACAAATGGCTCCAAAATTAAACTTGGTGTGTGGATCCTTCAACTGGCTCTGGATCCCATCCTGTAACTGCATTCTGAAGAAGCTTTGGTATTCAGAAGGTTGAATAAGCAGCGTTCAAGTTAACCAGCCAAATGTGCAATCATGCAACACATGCAAGATTGTTTCTGGGCCTTGATGATAGTACGTGCAGAGAGATGAAGTTGAGATGTGTCTCTTTGGCGCTCCGCGTTCATTAGGAGGTGCACCTGGTAGGCCAAAAATAAGAAGTGGCTAATCGTGGCTCCTCGCCACCTCCACAAAGTCCGCCTGTTCACCTCCGAGTCCTCTACATCCGCATCAACAGCTAGCTCGTACAACGACCGAACTCAAAACTGCTGTCACGCTCTAAGCCCCTAGTCGCCCTATCCTATCCTGCGTCGGCCTGTGGAGGTTGAATTCCAACAACCTGCAAAATAAAATTCATTTTAAGACCTCATGCAACGCAGGGATATCACACTAACCTTCAGTCGTGGTGAAAGATGCCACAGGAACATGGGATCAACATGCAGGTTCTCCTCGCGTGCATGTCGAAAAGAAGATCTTCACTATCCACTCATCTATCGGAAGCTCCAATCTTGGTTGGACGCAGAAGCTCCAACCATCCAAGCCTTCAAGGTGTCAGTTTGGTATTGGTGGATTCACCTTCCTTTTTTCTTAATATTTAATTATGCTAAGTAAATCAAGAATTAAAATATTAAAAAATGATGAAATCACCAATATAAAACTGACACGTGGCTTTTTTTTTAGCAATTCAGTGTGTATCGATTGTGGAAAGGATTCATGGGTTCGTACTTTTATGCATTTCGATTTCAATCTAAGGTAATTTGGTCCATAACTCTAGTTCTCTGATTCTGTTCGGATTTCGTGTGGTTATTTTCTTTGCCCATAAGCGCCGATGTAAGCGTTTCCAATCCTAGTCTACCGTTTCTTAGGCCTTCCTCGTTTCCCTCTATTCTACCAATCGAGTATTTTCCATTGAATTAGTCTGGAGACTATCCATCCCGCCGGCCGCCTCTGCATCTCGTCGATCAACTCTGTAATTCCATCATTTTATTATTTCTCTTGAATTAGTTGCTTGTGCTCATTGATTTCTTTACTTCTTGTCGTGACTCTAGGTCTTGGAAAAGGGATAGATTTTGATAATAATATATATTTCGTTTGTGGACTGTAATTGGAATTGATGAACGAAGCTTCATATGGCCTAGTGGACCATTATTCTCCTAATATCATATTCCTTTTACCAAGTGGCTTGGTTAGTTGTTTGCTACACTATTACAAACCAAAGTCATTGTCTTGTGACTTTAGCTTGTTGTGAATGTTGTAATGAAGTTGTTGACGCTTAATCAGTCTAGATGTTAGGTAGGAGTTTAACACCCGCCTTATACCTAGTGCTTTCTTGAACTTTGGTTATGCTACATGCATCTCCTGGAGGTAGATGGTTTGCAGCTGCCTTTGACTTACTCTCAATTGATGTTGGGGGTCGTTTGGATTGAGTATTTGATAAACTTGTTGTTTGGGGTCAATTACCACACAAATACCACATAATATAAAACCTGTTGTTTGGTATGTGATATTTGGTCTCAAACTTGTTATTTGGCAAATACCTGCCCCTCCCAAGTATTTGGCAAACAACAGTTTTTGTGTTATTTGGTCTAAAATCTGTTATATGGCAAAACACTACATCCAAATAACGCATCCCACTTTTTGTCAGCCAAACATGTTATTTGGGGTCAAATAACAGATTTTGTGTTATTTGACCTCAAATAACACACCTAAATACTTAATCCAAACGACCCCTTGATGTATACTTTTTATCTCATCCTTTTATGTTCAACCTTCTAAATCCTAGTCAAGAATCAATGCTGTGAAATGTGAGTTGTGAAATCGTATAGAGTATTCACAGTTCCAACAGAAAAAAATATATGCTGAAAGGTATATTGGGAGTCCGTTTTTAGAAGTATGAAACGATAGAATTTAAATTATTGTTTTAATATAAAATATATCTTATTACTTACTTTTTCCAATATATTACATTATTACTTACTTTCTCCAATATAATTTTCTTGTAAATTTTACTATCCTTGAAATTATATGTATTTAGCGTTTAATTATTCACTTAAATTAACGACTAGCATCAATGAAACACTATATATTGTTAATTTACTTGAAAAATTAATAAAATTATATAATATTCTGCATGCACCTAAGGTCATGAAATTTTTCTCAAATGACTCCTCATCACCGGTTGGCGCGTCTATGGCGTTGGAGATTTCTGAATTATTTCTTTCTAATGCATGTTACATTTTTGTTGAAATAAATGCATGTTATACCATTAGAGGTGGCAAATGGATTGATGCATGGATTGGTGGATCCATGGATCAAATGGATTAGATCCAATGGATTGGTGGATTCATGGATTAGATCAAGTGGATTGGTGGATTATCTATGAATCCAAATGACATCCTCAACCAAGGAGCAATATGTAAAATGTGAAAAGTTTAGGTACTAAAATGTCATAATGAAAAATCTTAGGTACCAAAACGTAATTTTCCAATGATATTTTTCATATAAAAATTAAATTTTGGGTACCAAAATATAAAATATAAAAAGTATAGGTACCAAACCGTAATTTATCATTTGGATCCATGAATCAATCCATGAATCCACCAATCCAATTGAATTTGAATCAAATGGATTGGATTTAAATGGATTGAATTAAGTAGATATTTTTAAAAAATTAGTGAATTGGATTGAGGATTGCACTTATATACTATTTTATGCGCTCCATTTCATGACAACTACTTAACTAGTCAATGAGATTTGGGAGAATGTGAGACTGATGAAAATGTGGTGCTTGTTGGCATGTGTAGTTGGAATTGTAGCACGTGTTGCCTAAAATTCTCAGTGTGTTGGAAATCGTGTACAGTTAAGATGAATGGGAAGGGTTTGATGATTGGGTGGAAGGGACACATATTAATAATGTTACTGCCTGGAGTTTCATGTGATTCTGAGATGTATACAAGCCTGATTCTTGTCGTTGGAATTTTGTTCATGGCCTCATTGATCATACGAAGGAGTTCCATAGCTTTAAATGTTTCCCCCCTGTTTTAATCTACTCGCATACGTGGTTAGTGTATAATACATCTATACCAATAATTCAATATTCGACTCAACTGGTCGGGTTATAAGCTAGTATATAAGTAAGGGACGTTATTTATATGCAAGCCAAATTACAACCCGACCCGTTGACCCGACACGAAACCGCCCAAAAAGTAGAAATTTTTGTAACCTGAAATTTGAATGACGCAAATCCGATAACCCGTGATTTTTTGGGTCGTGTTGGGTGGGTTAGCGGGTCAACCTGTTAGACTCGTTCCATTTTTTTATATCACCCTCAAAATGATAAAATCACTCATAAATTGGTGAGATGTTTAAAAAAAATCATGAGGATTTGAATGACATGTTTGGAGGTTAAGGATAATCAAATATCATGTGTTTCTTGTAGTACTATTACTCTTGTGATTGTTTTTTGACGATTTGCGCAATTTATATTTCATTAGCATGGGAGGATTTGAGAATATATTAATTGACATGTGTTAGGTAAATTATTGCCATTCATGTATGAAAATTGTGGAGCGCTTGTTTCTATGCACAAAGAATTCAGTAGTTATCTCTAGCTAGACTCTCCCACCAAACTACCGTGTCATTTAGATACAAACGAATGCATCCAAAACCACTAATGATTTCTTCGCACAACAGTATTTCATTGTCTCAGCCTCTGTCTCTCTACTCATGATTCCTTAGGCCGGCTTGCGCACAGGTTCATATCTGCCTAGTGGATTCTCCACATCCTTTAGAGTTTCTTATAGTAAATAGTACACAGAGCAAAGGGAATCCCATCTGGTAGCCATCTCTTGCCGATCCTACAGTAAAGGCCAAACAGAAAAACGTTCCATCATCAACGACAAAATTCCCACACTATACATTAACGAGGGAGTAAAATTGCAGTTATCCATTGTTATCATAAACAAAAAAAAAACAAAAAAAAAAACCTTATTTTCGTCCTGAGATGGAAAATCCTGACTTTGAAGTATCCGATTCCGGCATCTGCGGTGGAGCTCCGATCACACATGATGAATTCATCCCTTTCCCGCCGCCTCACACCTTTCATCATGTGGATGCCTCCCACCTGCCGCTAGCTGCTGGCTCATTTCCTTCAGGAGGAGGGGACGCTGACCAGGTGGAAGGTCTGTGCATCCTGGAGTCCGACCCTCTAGCCCACCTGAGCTATCAGCAGAATGACATCATCCTGTATCAACGTGTAGCACAAATCGCGTCATCGTTTCAGTCGGGAGCAATTGAAGATCCTCCGCAATCGATGTTGCCAGTTGTTGCTGCATTGTCCGTCGAAGATCTGGTCCGGATCGCAGCATCAGAGTTCGTGGGATCCCACTCGAACCACGACGTGATGTCGTCTGGTGCATTCCACGACGTCACGCTCTCAGAAGAGGAGTCGGAGAGCGTCGAGCTTACGCAAATCCTCCTCGAAGCCGCCGAGAACGTGGCCGACCGTAAGTTCGACACCGCCGGAGCACTGCTCCAGCGATGCCACGGGCGGTCCTCCCCTGCGGGGAACCCGATCCAGAGACTGGTCTTCTACTACTCCCGTGCCTTGACGGTACGGATCGACCGAGAAACCGGGCGGATCGCCTCGTCACGAGACGTGGTCAGAGAGCAGTCATCCGATCTGTACAAAGCGGTGATGACTCCGAGCATCCAGCTGGCAGAGTTCCATAGGAGGATTCCCTTCTCCCAGGTCGCGCAGTTCGCGGGGATCCAAGCCATCGTGGAACACCTGGAGGGATCCAGGTGCATCCACGTAGTCGATCTCGCGATCAAGAATGGACAACAATGGACCATCCTAATGCAAGCCTTGGCGTCTCGGCCGACGCGGCGGCGCGTCCAGCGCCTCAAAATAACCGCCGTCTCTACCGTCGGGGAGCAGCGAATCGAGCAAATGGGAAACAGGCTAGTGGGCTTCGCGGAAGGCTTGGGCCTGCCGTGCGTCTTCGAAGCAGTGGTGGTCCCCGACCTGGCCCACCTGAGCCGCGCCCATGTGCGGATCGAGTCAGGCCAGTCCGTTGCCGTGATGGCCGAATACGTGTTCAACACCCTGGCTGAACCGCTTGACCGGCTCGACTCGCTAATCCGAGCGGTTCGGAGCCTGAAACCTTGCGTGGTGGTGGTCGGGGAAGTAGAAGGGAACATGAACTCGCCCATGTTTGTGAACCGGTTCGTGGAGTCACTCTTCTACGCCAGCGCGTTCTTCGACTGCATGGAGGATTGTATGGGGAGGGACGAGCCGACAAGGAAGTACGGGGAGGCGACTTTGTTCGGGGAGTCGAGCAAGATTGTGTCGGCAATCGATGGGCGAGAGAGGATCGTCAGGAACATGAAGGTGGACGTTTGGAGGACGTATTTTCGTCGGATGGGGATGGTGGAGGAAGAGATAAGCCCATCGTCGTTGTACCAGGCGAATCTGGTGGCCAGGAAAGTACCATGTTGGAAGCCATGTACGGTTAAGATGAACGGGAAGGGGTTGATGATTGGGTGGAAGGGTACAAAGATTAATTCTGTTACTGCCTGGAGTTTCACGTGATTCGAGATGTATACAAGCCTAATTCTTGCCGTTGATTTTCTGTTCATCACCTCATTGGCCATACGAAAGAAGTTCCGTAGCCTTGAATAATTTTTTTCTGGATGGCTAAATACCACCCTAGTTTTACTATTATCGTCCTAACTTAAAACATAAATTTTTTAAATTATCCTCTTCATTAATCAAACAAAATTCCACAAACAAACCCTAAAATCCCTAATCATCCTCCAACACCGCCGACCTCCTCTCCAAACACCCCTCAACCGCCATCCTTCCTGCAATCCCACCGTTCCTTTTCCTAGTCGTAGCCTGCATCCTTCTACTTGTCCACCCAACCGCAATAGGATTCCATAATCCACCATTTTAGGGATGGCAAAAATATCCGTAACCGTGGATATCCGCCCGAACCCGACCTAATCGGGTAGGGTAAAACCCGAACCCGAAGAACATTTAGTGGGTACGGGTAAAACCCGAACGCGAATATTGCGGGTAATGGGTGGACATGGGTTTCTCAGTATCCAACCCGAACCCGCCCGATTATACACATACATATGTATTTTGTCTAGAAATAGTCATTATTTTTCTCTAACATATTTTATATTTAGCATATAAATATAATATTTTCATGAAATTGTGTTGTTTTAATTAATTTTCTTCATTCTAGTGAATTATTGTCATACTTTTCCTCTCGCGTAATGTGAGAATACGTGTGAATATTAGTATATTAGTTGGAGTTATGAAGAGAAATCATTACCCATGGATAACCGTGGATACCCGAAACCCGAACGGGTATGGGCATGGTTTTAATTTTCTACCCGTTTCATATGTGGGTATGGGTATGGGTAAAACCCGAACTACTTTGGGTAGGGTAATGGATATGCACTATCCGTCCCCGACCCGACCCATTGCCATCCCTACTGACCATTTCCTTGTTTTTCCCATCTCCCACATCCATTGTTGAGAATGAATAGCTTTGAAAGCTATATTGAATTAATTATTTAGTATTTTTTTAGATATGAAATTAAGAAGGATAATTAATAAAAAAAATATTATGGAGAAAATTAGGATTAATTATCTTAATATAATATATTTTTATTATGGGTGTAATTATCTTCCTAATTAAAATGTGGCTTATTTCCAAAGAAAGATGGAATATTCTAGGTTTTCTGCTCCTATAAATAGCAGACCCCTAGACCCTCTAGATACACCTCGGAAAAGCAGAAACACAAGAGAGAGTTAATTCATAGAGCTCAGGTTTTCGCACAAAACCGATGAGCAACAAATCAGAGTGGCTGTTTTATCATGGAGGCGAACCGGCTGATAGTCTGATGTGCGCATAACGAGGCAGTGCCACAAACGTCTTAAAGAGAGCGACATAGTCCGCGATTCAACCAGATCGGTAATCTTAATTTTTCTGTTCGGTTTCTAACATCCATTACTCTCATTAAGCCATTTCTGTCGCGAAGGTACACTACAATGGAAAAAGCTTCCTCCATTTCTCCATCAACTTCAATGCTTCTCTTTATTGATTGAGTTTAATTTTAGTTTTTGTGCAGCATCCCAATCCATTAAGAACCAAGTTCGTCGGTGATGCATTAGTGGAAGCGGTCGGTCCCGATTGTATTGTTCCCAGGCAAGTTACTCTGTTCGATTGGTATGGTGGCGGCCGACAAATTAAGTTAGGGTCGGCGGTGGAAATCAAAATTAAAATGGTCAATATCAAATTGTTTGGACGAATGGTGTTTATTAAAATAAAATATCTCTTAACAATAAAGGAGAAGGATAAAAAGGTAATAAGAACTTGTAAAGTAGGGCGATATAATAAAATTAGGTCGACAATTAGCAATTTTTTTTATCCTCTTTAGTCTACTCACATAAATATAGGTGTTTTGTTTTTCATAGTTATCCTCGAAAGAAAGCAGCAAAGGTAAGACAATATACAATCAGCAAAGATAATTTGCACCATCGCTCCAAAGGCTTGAATTACCACGATATGGACATCCCTAATATACTTACGGGAAGTGAAGTGGAACAAAACACATAGGAAAAAAGCACTCAACAACTGAATATCTTACCGTATAAATCCACCGACCGCGTGCGACAAATCCCTCACATGGATTATCCTTATAATCACCCGTGCATCACCACATAAAACAAAACATTAGGAAAACAGTGAACCAGACACCAACATAGATAATCACAAAAAGTTGAAAGCTATGCGAGAAAATGATCAAATATATAAGGATAAATGCCCCAAACTCCAACAAATGCCTCATGGTGAGACGCCTTATCGCTGACTGGGCATAGGCACATTGATGATGAATCGCGATCTTGAATAATTGTATGACGATTTAAAACAGTTGTCATGTAAAAATATGTGACGTTTGAATGAGTTATATATTGGTTGTGGTGTAATATTTGTTCATTAATAATCCACCAATTGTAGTATTTAGGTATCATTTGATTCATTTGAAAGTAGAAATATCTTATTTGGATGGAGATAATTTGTCAATTATTTATCTATAGTATTTTATACTTGTCAATTGCTAGAAACAAAATTATCCAAACATCACGGTCGTTTCTAAGAATTTTTATATTGATCAAAATAATTTATTATCAGTTATCTGAGATGGAATATTTTTTTGGAAATTCAATGCATCCATAAGTTATTTTAAAATAACTCAAAAACCAGTTTGTTTTAAATCATTCATATTCTTATTATTTCTAAATAACTCGTACTTGTTATGGGGAGACCAATTGGAGTGGGCTGTCAAGGAAAGGAAAGGGAGGATTGGTAGGACTCAGATTTGTAGATTTCTTTGGAATCTTTCTATGAGCTATCTCTGGACAGAAAGATGTAATCAGTTGCATGGAGCATCACCTCTTTGTAAACCTCAACAGCTAGCCAAGAAGATCAAGGATGAAGTTCGGATGTTGGCTCATAACAACTAGATAATGATGCAAGACTTGTTACTTGAATACAATATAGGAGGTTAAAAGTTGTAATAGTTATAGTTACAAAACGTTGTATTTGAGAAAAAGGGGTTGCAGTTAGCACTCTTAGAGCTTAATGTATTGATTACCCATAAAAAAATAACTCGTACTTTTCTATTTACCAGTTTATTTAAAAATTCATATTTTTATTATTTCTAAATAACTCGTACTTTTCTATTTTTCCAATTATGTTTTTTTTTCTCTTTGTTTCACCTATCTAGGGTATTATGATATTTTACGGGTATACAAATACAATGATAGGTTTGTCTCCCTTGTATAGAGGTCGTTTGGATGGATCAATTTAGAAATAAGACAATTTGACCAATTGTTTTATTTTACAAACGAGACAATTAAAATGAGTCGATTTGAATTACCTGCCTCCACCCCAAACAATTGAAATTGACTCAAAACGGATCAATTCAATTCAAAATACCTCGGGCAAATTGATCCATCCAATTTTTTTATCGGCAAACGAGTCAATTTAGTACAATTGTCTTAAAATAAGATAATTGCGTCAAATTAATCCGTTACAATTCCTCATCCAAACAACCTCAAGATTCTTTCAGTCGGCTTGGCCATCGGTTTCAGCAACGGGAACCGTTTGATGGTCGTCCAATCATCGGCGGATACAGGGGGGCCACACTGGGCCCGGTAGGAATGGCAATGGGGCAGGTCCGGGGCGGGTTTCTTGGTACCCAGACCCGCCCCGTGGCAGGTCAGGTCCAGGTCGGGTAATTGATCACGGGTCGCGGGTCGGGGCAGGTCGACCCAATGGGTATGCAATTTATATGAAAAACATTAGAAATATTCGTTATTTTTATTATAAGACTAAGAAAACAAACAATATTATGACAATTGTAGTTAAATTATTGGAGAAATTGAGATTTTTACTAATTTATAACTATATTATAGCTAAAATATGATGCAATAAAAGGAAAATTCTCAGTAATTTGACTAAGATTACATGTGATTTAGACAAGAATGGGTCGAGAATGGGGCGGGTCAGGGCAGGTCGGGTCGATGAGACTACCCATGCCCGCCCCGCCCCGCCTACGGGGCGGGTCGGACCCGCCCAAAACAGGTCAAACAGGTCGGGTAAAACGGGTCAGGTCGAAATTGCCATCCCTAGGGCCCGGGCCCAGCCCTCCCTGCCCCCCCAAGACCCAACCCAGCCATGCACAATTATTTGGGCCCAGCCCCAGCCAGCCCAAACAAATCCCAAAGCCCAGCCCTACCCAGCCCTATTCGGCTATTCCTCTTTAGACTTTCCCTGCAAGTTTGGGATTGGGACAAAAAATCAAATAGAAGAAAGACGAACAGACCTGCTCCCTACTCCCTGCTCCCTGCTCCCTGCCTCTCCGATGCCCTGACCCAACGCTGAGATCCCCTTCCGCATCGGCGCTCAAGTTCCGGCCACTCCCTTCACAGTAGACAGTAGTGAGTAAACGACAACAACAACAGCCAACAGCCACAGCCCACAGGTAATTGCAAATTTGCAATTTGCCAATTGGTCTTACTGTCTTAGTTTAGTTAGTTAGTCTTATTTACTTAGAAACTAAGTTTGTACAGTGAAATTATGCATTAAGCCATTAACATAGAATTCAGTATTAGGATTTCTCATATATCATATATATTTGTATCCAAATTTACTTAGAATCTAGTGTTTGACTGCGTTGTGTACATGTTTAATTGGTTATGCAGATTTCAAGATATTTCATCATGACATCTTCTCAACCACCAAATAAAAAGGCGAAAACAACATTGTTTTCTTACTATCAACGTAAGGAATCTGAAACGTGTCAGACCGAAGAAGTCCCTCCTAATGAAGGTCAACCATCTTCCTCTCCTGTTCAGAATGAATCATCTACTTCTCCTGTATCTGGTAATCTACTTCCATCATCTGATAGTGGAGTTGAAATTGAAAGAGATCTAGGAAAGAGGAAACAAATATGTGATTGAGCTCTTGAGTTGAGAGATGAGGTTAGGAGAAAATACCTAATACACAAGGCTTATCAACCTAAACTCGCATACTATAAGTCGCGAGAATATCCAGATAAAATTCGTCACTTTCAAGAAGCATGGTATTCACAATTTGATTGGTTGGAGTATTCTCCTACAACACATAAAGCATATTGTTTCCCATGTTTTTTGTTTAGAGACAAGATGAATGGGAATCAAACTTCTGCACTAGTCAAAGATGGATTTGATAATTGGAAGAGGGTTAATGGTAAGAAATGTGTGTTCCTTGTTCATGTTGGTTCATCAGCTTCTTCAAGCCATAATAAATGTGTTACAGCGGCTGATGCCTTGACGAAACCCTCCGGTCATATTGATAAAGTGATGCACAGAATTGGTGGAGAAGAAGTTCTAAAGCATCGATTGCGGTTGAAAACAACAATTATGGTTGTCAAACAGTTGGCTTTACAAGGAAGTTCTTTTAGAGGGCATGATGAATCTGATGATTCTTTGAATCCGGGGAATGTTCTAGCATGGATTGGTTTTGCAGCGAAGTTGAATGATCAAATCAATAGTGTAGTTCTCCGTAACGCACCAGGAAATGAGAAATACACTTCACCAAGCATTCAGAAGGAGATATTGGGAATCATAGCAAATAGAGTGCGTTGTAAGATACGCGAGGAGATTCTTGTTTCTCTATTCTTGTTGATGAAGCAGTTGATGAAGCAGGAAGGGAACAAATGTCTATTATTTTGAGGTATGTCAGTTCTTCTGGTATAGTAACTGAACGCTTTTTTGCTCTCAAGAGTGTAGCTGAAACTTCTGCAGAAACACTAAAACAATCTATTTGTGACGTTCTCTCTCAGTATGACCTTCAAATTGAAAAATTGAGAGGTCAAGGATATGATGGTGCAAGTAATATGTCAGGGAAGTTTAATGGAGTCAAGGCATTATTTCTTAGAGATTGCCCATATACCTATTTTGTCCACTGTTTTGCTCACAGATTACAGTTGGCATTGATTACTTCTGCAAAGGTATGTGATCCTATATGGGATTTCTTTTCTATATTGGATTGTATCATAAACGTTGTGAAGGCTTCTCCTAAACGGATCAGGGAGTTGCAAGCAATTCACAAAAAAGATCTTGATGGTATGTTAGATGTTGGAGAAATTCAATCTGGACAAGGAGCTAATCAAATGACATCCTTAAAGCGTTCGGGGCCAAATCATTGGGGATCTCATTATCATTCCATATTGAGCATTATAAACATGTTCAATGCAACATGTGTAGTGCTAGAGGATCTTTGCCGTTCTAAAGAAGGAGAACAACGAGCTCAAGCAAGAGGTGCTTCAAAAAATATCAAGACTTTTGAGTTTGTGTTCAGTCTTCACTTGATGAAAGGGATTATGGATATCACGGATTTTCTTTGTCAAGCATTTCAACAAGAATCTGTTGACATTGTAGCTGCAGTTGGATTTGTTTCCATGGCAAAAGTTAAACTTCAAAAGCTACGGGATGAAGGATGGGACAAGCTACTCCAAGAGGTAAAATCTTTTTGCTCAAAACATGCCATAGAGGTACCTAATATGAATGCTACACTTGGACGTGGTGAGAAGCAAACAACTCTTGAGCACCGCTACCATTTTGGATACTTTAATCAATGCATAGATTTTCAGTTGGGAACATTGAATTCAAGATTCAATGAGTCATCAGTCAGATTGCTGCAGTTGAGTGGTGCACTAGACCCTAAAAGTTCTTTCCAGTCTTTTGATGAAGAAAATATTTACAGACTTGCTGAAGAGTTTTATCCTCGAGACTTTGAAGGCAATGAGATGAATTGTTTGAAGAATGAGCTAGGATATTATGCCGATCATGTGGTTCATAGTCAGAAATATGATATTTCTTCCCTTGCAAAATTACTAGAGAAGCTGGTGGAAACAGGGATGGACGCACGGTACAGATTGATTTTTCGATTGATTTGTCTAGTGTTGACATTGCCTGTTTCAACGGCTACTACAGAGAGATCCTTTTCAGCAATGAAACATGTGAAGATTGATTTGCGCAACAAGATGGGCGATGAATTTCTTGCTGATTGCTTGACTATTTTCTTTGAGAGAGAGTATGTTATTGGTATGGATGAAAACTCAATTATTGACGAATTTTCTAAATTAAAAGATCGTCGTGTACAATTGACATTATAATGCAAACTATAATTTTTTTTTACGTATCTAATTTTATGTTCGAATCCGGCCCAGTGCACTTCTATATCCTTGATTCGCCGCTGCGTCCAATACAGAACCAGTCAAACAGAAGGGGACGAAAAATAACACTAATCATCAATCAATCAATCAATCAAGACTATATATAATACGTTTTATAACATGCAGAAACCTCCATTTGAAAAATCCTGCAATGGGAGCGTTTCCCGGAAGGACATCCCAGTAATTTAACCATACACAGCCCACCATTCTTCAATTCAAAAACACCACGCTGCGTTTCTATTTTAAAGGGCGTTCCCCAAATAAATCACACACTGCGTTTTGGCGCTACATAATAATTACAATTGCATTCTACCATTATTCCCGCTTTGCGCTTTCCCCACCCGATTCCCCCTTCTCTCTACCTAACGGCTAAATCCCATTGTTACCCAAACTTCTCACCTCTTTGTTCAGCCGCAGCTTCTCAAGTCGTCTTCGAGTCAATCCCTAACTGAGTCCATGATTGCGCCAATCCTCTTTAATTGAACATCTCAACCCACCCAGCTACAATACCCTATATGCTATATGTCTCTCTGATCGCATTCTATTTCTATGGGTGCCTTCACCGCTCCAGGAATATCATTCCACCACATAAGAGGGTAGAAGCTTCAAATTCTTTACCGCCGCCGCCATTGATCTTCTTGCCACGACGACGAGCGACACATAATCTTACCTTTTACATCAGCTCAAGGTTCATTCTACTCACTGCAACTCTGACGCTCACGCAGTGTTATAGTTAGAATTAGTAGTAATTAATGTTCTTATTATCATTTTAGAATGGGGAAGTAGACCACAGTGTTAAGTGTTAGCCGAACTGGGAGGGAATGATTATTATTATTATTGGCCAGTTTGGGTGGATAATTATAGTAAGGGATAATCATAGTAAGGGATTTTGGAGTAAGGGCCACGATAGAAGTCAGGTTAAAGTATGTTGTACTCTAAATTTTTTGGGATACGATAAAAGTCACCATATATAAATTTTATAATAAGATAAATATTTCAGTTTATTATAGGTTTCTTATGCATTTTTAGAAGTAGTATGAAGTAGAATAGACATTTATCAATACGTTGAAATATCAATGCACCAATTGATATGAAAGAATGATTTTTTTTTTTTTTTTGCTAGGCAATTAACTTTAAAAATTGAATCTTTTTTTTTATTATCAAACTTCAATAGTAGTGATGGTAATAATAAGAGGCCTCTATTGCTCAAGTTAAAAAAAAATATATTCTTTCCCTTAACAGTTCTGTTTGTTGGTAGAACTTACTTCAATTTCTTGGTTCTTCTTTTTATGTAGTGTTATCACAACCGCTCCGGACCGGCCGGTCAGACCCCACAAAACCGGCTCCGGGCAGAAATCCGGTTACGGAAGGCATAAAACGGACAGAAATACAGCCCTCCGGATCTTAATCGGTTCAACCGGTTAACCGACACAATTGGTAAACCCGAACCGGTGGTTTGGATATTAGTTTACTTACCTAATTAAATTAAAAACTTGAATATGGAAACTTTGAATTGGAAAAGGAACCAATTCAATGATAAATTAATGGGCCAAGAAGATTAAAGAACAATTCAATAATTAAATTAATTTGGAGAAACATAAAGTGGGGAAATCAAGAACCAACCCACCGAATGAATAGCTTATCACAATTTCCAACTAATTGTCAGCATACTAACTCTTTCCTATTAAAACCCCAACTCTTTCCAATAGTTGAAACCCAATAATTTCTTTTCCCTTTAATTGCGGTCAATGTTAAAAATACAAACTTTTCCATATTACAACACTAAGTCTCCACGTTGGTTTTGTTGTTTACTTATTTTAATTTAAGCTTTTTAATTACCATAAAATCATTAAAAAATTGATAACATGTATGCTACCGGTTTTATGAACGGTTTTCGATACCGTTTAAACACCGGTTAACCGATAAACCTTAAACTAGGGCCGGGAAAATAGACCAGACCGTTAGAAAAACCGTGGTCCAAACCGTACTGCACAGTTTGGTCTGGACCGTAGACCGTTTTAGTATGGTTTGGTCTGGTCCATGGTCTGTATTATTTTATGTTTTGATCTTTTGGTCTGGTCTGGTCTAGACCGCGGTTTACCAGACCAAACCGTGGACCAACTGACTTGTCAATACGTGTTAATAGCCCACTCGATCACTCTCCCAGCTCCCACAACGACACCCAAGTCTCAACCTTAATTTTGAGAATTTCGTCCATCCTTCATTCACAACCACATTTAACCAGAGAGTAGAGATAATCGTGTCTCCATATGACATTATGTTAATGTTCATAACGTTATGGTGCAAGTTGGGATGCTTTTACTTTGTATCTTTGTTATGTACTAACATTTAGGGTATCAAAATTATTCGTGCATGTTAGGATTAATGTTTTTAAGGAAAATAACAATGATTTTTCTTGGTTATTGGTTCAATTTTTTCCGTGGTTGACTAAACAAATTATTCATTTTTCTTTGAGTGTGGTCTATCTGGACCAGACCAGACTGAACCAGACCGCATAGGCGTGGTCTGGACCAGACCTCATAGGCGTGGTCTGGACCAGACCGTATAGTCTGTGGTCTGGTCTGTGGTCTATACTTCAGCCTCTCGGTCTGGACCATAGACCGTATATATGGTCTGGTCTGGACCAGACCGCACCATTTCCCAGCCCTACCTTAAACCTCTCACCAATCCGGATCGATATCCGGTTCGGTTTTGACAACAATATCATCAATTTTGTAGTAATTTGGATGATAAATATCAGCAAATGTTCTAAGCTTTATTTCAGGCTAGCGTATGCCCGTTTAGTGCATGGATCGGGCCAGACCTTGCGAGCCATTATTGTCACTATCGCAAGGGGTCATCAATTTTCAGATTTGACGCTCTCGGCTGAGCATATGTTGATGAGTGGTATCTAAGAAGCTACCATACACACATATATATTCCACCAAATGTCAACAATGATTAGTTAATGGATGAGTTGAGAGCCTAATAAATTATAAAAGAAAATAGAACAGGTGGCCTAGGTCCATGTTGATGGAACCTCAATTAGAGTCCAAGTATAACGACTAAGGATCCACATGTTAAAGGTATGAAATTTGTTAAGGTTTTGACAAATATAACATTTATGTACTCTCTCAAGATCCAGTACATGAATTTTATAATAGGTTCAGACTAACTGTAAAGACAATTTTATTGGACGATACATTATCAACAAATATTATAACCGTATGCCAAACACGTATGACTATATTTTCAGCCAAAGATCGACAATCATTAATAAATCACTGAGTGTTTTGGTTGAGAATCCCTTACTACTGGGGCTAAGCTAAGTCTAAAGTCCATTCATTGTTGAAATTATTTTGCATATCATATATTCATATTCTTTTGTGTAGTTTTAGTTTACTCTCTTAAAACCTTTGTGATTTCTTGTGTTTGAACTTAACACGAATTTTGTGCGACATTGACTCGTGATTGAATTAGTTTTCAACCAAACACAAAGAACTCAGTCAATAATTTTTATTGGTTGATATGGGAACTGCTATTGGGATTATCAAAGCTAAATTGAGATGCTGGCCTCCAGAGGCAAAGATGTGGGGGAAGTACTTGATCCCAAAACACGGGCTGGTACCTTGGTTAGTGATCAGAGATAGAATCATTATGAGAGTAAAAGCTGATTGGGGGGTGGTGGGGGGGGGGGGACCATTAATGAAGATATTATGCGAAACTGAGTATGAAACCAGAGATAATTTGTTCTACAACTGTCCATTAATTCTCTAGTGTGTCACCTTGCAGGTCAGAATACAGCTGATGCTATGCTGACATGAGGGATTTTTTGGTGTTGGTTTATCTCCAGTATTTGGTGTGAAAGATGTAATCGAGTGTTTCAAAGAACCATAAGCATCCAAGATAGTTTGATTTAAGGGAGAAATAAAAAAAACTGCAGAAATGAGAATGAGGGATTTGCACAACTATTAGCTTATTCGAGTTTTTGTGCACTTAAGAAGATAGGTTTACCTATTACAACATGTATCCTATCCTGATGTAAAGTGATAGTTATATTATTAGGATTTTGCTACGGTGACATGGACTTTTCGGTCGACCTAATCCAACATGCGGTCGACCGAACGGACTAATGCATGTATGTGGGGTTCCGAGACGCGGTCGACCTCTTACATAATACGGTCGACCTCTTTGGTGGTCTAACAGAATGAAAGGTCGACCCAAATATCTCATAGGCCGACCCTTGTGCACCTAACAGGTCGACCGCATTATGAAGAGGTCGACCGC